CATGCAATCTCGCAACTCTTTTCTGAAGAGAAAGGATCTGCTCCTTGTTTTCTTGAGCTTCAGACCTTAGTTTCTTCTTCAGCAGTCTAACTTTTGATCTTGCAGCAGTAAGCTCTGCCACAATTTTTTGCTGATCAGCCAGTTCTGCCTCTAGTTTTTGGTTATCTGCCTGTAATGATTCAATTTTAAAGGTGAGAAGTTTTGCTTCCATGTTGTTCTTTTTCAATCTGTTCTGGAGTTCTATTACAGCTGTTTCCTGCTCCTTGAGCCCATAGTACTCAACCAACCGGACCTCAAGGTAACGCTCCCTCTCTTCAAGAATTCTAACCATGTTTCTTAGGTACCTAATCTCTTGCTCATAGTCACTCTTTTCATTGCTGGCCAAGGCTTTAGGAATACTTGAATCTGTTGCTGGTGGTTCAATGGCATTCTTAAGAGAATACCCAGCAGAAGTGGCAACCAGGTCAAATTCCTTCACGAGATCATTGAAATCAGGCAAGAGAACCCCATCTTCATTCCCATTGTATCTACTCCTAGGAGAAAGACCAGGCTTAGATTCGTCAATGATAGTCTTCTCCGTATATGCCTCTTCCTCCTGTTGGAAACAAGGAAAATTTTGGTTAACTGAAACTGAACGAACAACTGAATACAAAGAAAATTGTTTCGTTGCTCCATAATCAATAGAAACATTTATATATTTATGTGTCTGTGTTAAGCCACTAATCCCAGCACACCCACCAACTCACAAATACAAGGAACAAAGCCAATCCTTTAACATGCTGCTGCAGATTTGCATATAAATTGAGCCCTCAAAATTCTCAGTACAAGCTTTTCTATAGATGAACTATCAGATTTACTTTTATTATGAAATTTTTCCTGTTAACAAAAATGAAAACCAGGGACCAAAATCTTTTGGTTCAAACAATTGGCAAGAAGATTAGGATACAAACCAATGGAGCTTTGCATTTTTATGCTAGGATGAGAGTGAAAATTCATTTATCCTACAGGTTGGTTTTATACTTCTTTTAGTAGACCAGAAAATACTCCCAAATCGCAAGAACCGAATCAAATAGCAAAATTATATTTAATTAAATATTTATTAACTTCCTTTAGTTTACTTGAGAATTACAACTATAAACCATTGAATTTTGTTATTTTGAAACAAGAAGTTATCTTTATGAAAGAATTACCATATATTTTTGAAAATAAGTAACTTTAGTTGTGTACAGCATTAGTGAATTTTTTTCATATTTATATTTATGTATTTTGACTATATAAATATATATACATGACAATAAAATTTGATTTATAATCACTTTCTCTATACGGTATGTATCTTGATGAAAGAATTATCAAACATATTCCCCTGAACACGTAATCAATGAGTTTTAGTTTAGTAGAGTCCACAGGGATGAAACTTAACGATTTTGAAAGAGAAAACTTACCAACGTTCTGGTTGAAAGGGAAGAAGAGGCATGAGAATCACCCACATGCTGAGATATTCCTCGTGATTCGATTTTCTTACCACGGCCTGAAAATCGATATGGAAAGACGAAGCAGAAATCAATAAATTTTTATTTTTATTTTTAAAATAAAAAGATCGAAGAAAAATATGATTGAATACCTGGAGAGCGAGGCGTATTTCTGAAGCGAGAATAAAGAAATCCAGCAAGAGAAATGGCCAAAGCCGCACCAAATTTCACTAAAAGCGACTTTATCTCTCGCTTCTCTCTAAAGCTCATGTTTAAAAATGTGATTATAAGGAATAAGTCAGATAGATGAAGCATAGATCGTCGTCTTCCTCATCCTCATCCTCTTCCATCTACAACACCTAAATCAAATATATCCAAGCAATTACTCAAAAGAGAAGACGAGGAAAACAAAATAAAAATAGCAAAAATCACCTGTTGTTATCCAGCTAACAACAAACAAGAAAGTGAAAGAAATTGTAAAAAAAAACAGCAAAATCAGCTTAGGCTTATTACCCATTTAGTGTATTCTAATATTATACAGCCGAAGATTCGTTAGTTTTTAAAAATAGAAAACAATCCAATTCAGATATAACACCTCAAACAAAAATGAGAATCAATTAAAAACCCAATTCCAGTAGAGGAAGAAAGAGATGATGCATGTATACA